ACTCTCGAGTTGGCATTCATTTTGATATCTCCAGTTTAAATTTGAGATCCTGGCGTCTACCCTGGTCTCTCCCATTCCACACTGGACTCTCTCCTCCATGTGGAAACCCTGGCTCCTAATAACATCCATGTATCTCAGCCCACTGCGTGGTTTCAGAATCCCTGTGCCCGCCCCACCACCTCCAAGCCTGCCGAGGAAGTTGAGGATTCTCTTGCAGATCATCTTGTCCTTCAGGGGGACCAGAGGTGTACCGTTGGAATGCTGCCACCTTGAGCTACTTGAGCGGATTCTTTTCAACGTGGGTGTGACTGTGTTCCAATAAGGCTTCATTTACCAAAACCGGTGCAGGCTGGATGTAGCCTAAGGGGCACTGTTTATAGATGGCTGCTCTAGTACATAATCCTAACAGCATGGTTTCTGGTGCAGGGTGAGCACCCCTCCCCACCTGCCCCAGTAAATAGCTGTACCTGGATCATGGAAGCCGACGGGGCAGGAAACACTGGCCCGTCCTGGTGGCTGGTGGGCAGGTGGCCTTTTTCAGGGATGAGGGGGATAGAGGCCTCTTGACGAGTAGGACAGCCCCCCCACCCCACCAACCCCATACTTCTGGGCCTCCCAGACTAGCCAATGGAGAGAGGACAGGTCTGGAGGTGCATGGCCTGGGATTGGGGTGCTGGGTGAGCAGGGTTTCTCTTTCCTGGCTCGGAGGAGAGCGGAGTTGGGTGAGCTGACAGCCTCCCCTAGCAATGAACTCTGAGTACTCTCAGGTACATGCATACCTTGTATTTGGAAAATGAAATGAACTGTGTGACCTGCTAGCAGCAAGCCCAGTGGGCAGTGAGAGCTTCCCCCCTGCTCTCACCTGGGTGCCAGGCTCAATCCCTCTGCCCCTCTGAGACCTGTGATGCAGCATGTCTCTCTGGCTCCACCCACTCCCTACCCTGTGGGCTCAGGAGGCTCAGGCAGGACTCCAGGCTCCTCCAGGTTCCAGGAGGGGACCCAGGAGCCCAGAGGTAACTGAGACTCTCTGGGCTGGGGCTGGGGCTGGGGTTGGAGATGCTGTGCCGTTCTTCCTATTCAATCCTGCCCTTCCCCCTGCCCGCCTCACCCCTTTGGGCTCGGCAGGTTTGCACAAGCCTTCTGCAAAGCCCTCTGGGCCTGGAGACAGACTTGTTATGCCACTGGAGAAATGAGCCTGGATTTCCACCACCGACTTCTCTTTTAATTAGATTCTGACGGCAGCACACAGGGCTGGCTGGCTGCAGATTCAGGTGCAGCTTTCGTGCTCCCAGCCTCTGGGTTTCAGCGTGCTTAGCTTTTTTGGAGGCAGGAAATGCTCCCGATCTTTTCTTGGGAGTCAGGTGGGAGGCTGGCTGCACGAGTGTGAGCATGCAGATACCTTAATGTGTGACTGCCTGTGCATCCATGAGCAAGGAGCTGCATGCTTTGTTTTGGAAAAGCCTGCAGGCAAAAGCACATTGGGTTTCACTGACTGTCCTGCTGGCCCAGCCATTTGCCCCACTGCTCACCAAAAGCAGGAGCCGAGGGGGCCCTCTTGGGCTCACTGTCCTCATCTGATTGGGGCCGATGCTGCCTCAGCTGGCTTTTCCCAGCAAGTCCTTGCGGGAGGTTTCCTTCCTCCTGGATTCCTCATGCAGGCTGGTTTGGCAAAACAAAACTATTCCTCGTGTTTCCTTGAAGAAGCATACGTCTCAGGAAGAAAGAACCTAAAGGCAGGACTGCTCGGGCTGTAGGGGGCAGATATGGGTGGAAGGCTAGAGAGATGGGGACACGGTCTCTCCTCGACACCGCATGGACTATCACACCTGACCTCGTGTAGGCTGCAAGGAGGCGTGATCTCACCCCAAAATCAGAGGCTCCGAGTCTCCTGTACCTGCGCCTTCTCTGAGGAGGGAGTGGATGGCTAAGAAAAGAGGAAGAGACACCCTGATACCTCCAGAGCCCTTAGCCTGAGCCCCCAGTCTGAGAGGGGAGACAGTTCCCTTCCTCTGAGCGTACCCAGCCTGATATAAGATTCTGTCCTTGCTCCTGCGGGGACTCCTACCCAATGGAGACACCATGTCCCTTCCTTTAGTGAACTTTCAGTCTGCGAGGAAATACAGCTTCTGCTCTTGGGGCATCTCCCTGGTAAGGGGTGAGCTGTGCAGTAGAACCCCCACCCCAAGAGCAGCCTGACCCTGGGGAGAGGACCCACGCTGTTGTCTCTCTCTCTTTCTCTGCCCTCCCCTCTTCTGGGAAGCCTGGACTTTCCTGCTCCCCCCACCTTCTCCTGCCTTCCCCACCTTCCCCTGCCTCCCCCCCACCTTCCCCTGCCTCCCCCCACTTTCTCCTGCCTCCCCCACCTTTCCCTGCCTCCCCCTACCGTCCCCTGCCTCCCCCTGCCTCCCTTGCTACTCGCAGTTCAGCTGTCAGGGACTGACTTAGAAAAAGCAGTTTCCTTGAACAGCTCACAGTCTTGCCCTCCTGGTCCCCACACTCTGATCAGGAATGAGCCCAGAGCTCAGTGGCTTGGCTGCCCATGGAGACCCCCAACCCGCAAGAGCTTCCTTAAGTCAGGGAGAAACTGCTTAGTAATTTGAGCTGGGAAAGGAGCTGGGGCCACCCTCCAGGGCAAAAAAGCCAAATCCTGTTCCTCCTGCTCCCCTTGCTAAGCCCACATGAGGTCTTTGGGGGCTGGATCAGGAAGCCAGCCTTCCCCACACCATTTTCAGACTGAACTTTAAAAGTAAAATTGACCCTGTCACTTACCAGCTCAACGCCCTCTAGTGGGCAAATAAAATCTGAACTTTTCCCCATGGATTCCAAGGTGGCCTAGTTTGATCTGACCCCGCCTGCTCTGGCCTGTCCCACTCCCGTGTCCCTCTGCTTCTCATTCCTGCACCCAGGCCTTTGCACTGCTGTGCCCTCTGCCTAGAATGCTCTTCCCCCTCCTCCCAATCATCTCGGGGCCATTTCCTCCCCATCATTCAGGTCTCCCACTAATGTCACCTCCTAGAGAGACCTTCCCTGACCGCAATCATAATGGCTGTTAGTATTATTTCTGTGCACCAAGTTTCTGTGTCTCACTGCTTGATGAAATCTTCCTTTGTTTTAATTGCCTCCTGCCCTGGGAACGTTTGCCCCACAAGAGTAGGTCTTGCAGTCATCACCACATTTCCAGCACTTAGACCCACCCCAGGCACATAGTAGGGACTCAAGAACATCTGCTGAATAAATGAGACCCTCCTAGGCACCAGACTTGTGCCCAGCTCTCCTCACCTGGATCCCTGTAATCCTCATAGCAGCCTCAACTTACACATGGGGAAACTGAGGTCTGGGCCTGTAAAGGTGTTAAGGAAGTCAGATTTAATAGCAGGTGGGATCCCAAGTAAACGTCCCATCCAAGATCCTCCTGCGGTCTTGGGCTTCCACCCAGGACATATTCTTTATGGAAAAAGGAGAAGACCCAGAAAGCTGGAAAAGAGGAAAAGCACCCCGCCCTGCTCCTGGAGTAAGCCTCAGGGCGCAGCTCTCCCTCCCCTGCCCCTTTCTTCCCCCAGCTTTGGATGTGGCTTTCTTTCTTTTCATTTTCTGTAGCATTCACATTTTCTTGTGGTTTCTCATGCTGTGTCTATAAGTGTGAGTTTATATTTAGGGAGGACAGTGCAGAGCTGGAGCCTCCCAGTTACCTGGCTGTGCCCAAGGCCTGGGTGTTTAGGTTGTTTCCAGCCTGGTGTGCCCGAGTTAGTAACATCTGAGTGTTGTAGATGGAATTCAAGTGTCCATCCATTCATTCTTCGATCAAATTTTACTGTGCTGGAACTGTGCCAAGCAGGGGACAGGTACTAAGGGGCCTGAGGCACAGGCTCTGTCCTTGGAGTCCACAGTCTTATGTGGGAAGTGGCCAAGCAGAGCCACAGAATGGGGTAGGTATTCCAGGCTGGACAGCAGGGCGTGGCATTCAGAAGGCAGCAGCTGCTCTGTGGGTGGGTGGGGCCTGCCTCCTGGATGGGGGAACGCCACCCTGAATCAGAGTCTTCAGATGTTGAAGGAGGACAGTTGGGGAGTCGGGGTGGGTGCCGTGCACAAGTCATGGAGAGGGCAGAGGTGAGGCTGTGTAGTACGACCTGAGCGTCGGCTGGCCTGACATGTAGGGACTCCTCAAGGAAGAGCAGGAGTGGGGGCAGTGCCGGGGCCCCAAATGCTGAGGGAAGGAACTTAGACTTTCTCTTTTGGTGGATGGGAAGCCTAATCATTTGTATCTTCTCTTAAAAGAAGATTTTGTTTGTTTTAAAATCAAAATTGTATATACACTTGCAAGAAAAAAAATCAATGCACAGAATGGTTTATCCCAAAAGGCTCTTCCCAGTCCCGATCTCAGCCCTGCTTTCTAGAAGAGAATGCTTTTCACCTGTCCTGGTTTTAATCCACCTGGCACTTTCCTCAGGACCCGAACTTGTTCCCTCTGCTGCTTCTTGATGTATCACTTTTGGGACATTACCTGTTGTCTCCTCACTGTGAAAGATGAGCATTTGGCCCATGTTATCCGCGTTCCTTCCCTGATCATTCTGTCGGTATCCACTGTCACTTTAAATCCTTTACGTAAACCGCACCTTCTTTTGTGATTTTCGGCTCTATTTTTCCCTTCTGTAAGGTGAAGCTCTGAGGAGTCACTGGATTGTACCTGGTCCTGTCGGCTCGTGAGTGAGCGTGTACATGTCTTTCCTGTGCTCACTCGGTGACATCATGGTGGTGGTTTGCAACTAGCCACGTTACAATATTTACACTGTGGAAACTGGCAAACCCTGTGGACCAGGATTCCCAGACACTTGTTAAACTTTGGCCAACCCAGCACTGCTGGGCTTCTAAGGTTCCCTTCCAGCCCTGAGTAGCTTGTGCTTTTGAAGAATGTGAAAATGTCTGGCCCAGGGGTGAGGGTTTGCTGGGAGGCTCAGCTGGCAGGCCCAGCCAGCACTGACACCCCTCCCTTTGTGCCACAGCAAAGCTTCGAGGCGCACCAGGACGAGGCGGTGAGCGTGACGCACATGGTGAAGGCGGGCAGTGGCGTCTGGATGGCCTTCTCCTCCGGCACCTCCATCCGCCTCTTCCACACTGAGACCCTGGAGCATCTGCAAGAGATCAATATAGCCACTAGGACCACCTTCCTCCTGCCAGGTGAGGCTGCTGTGGGAAGGGTGGAAGCTGACAGTCACGGAGCACCTTCCACGGCCTGGCAGTGGTGCAACCTGTGCAGCCCATCGCATTTTCCCTTGCCAGACCTGAAAACTGGGGCTTTAAGGTGGGGCACTCCCCAGGAAGTGGTGGGGCTGGGATTCACACCTGAGACTGTCATCTCAAAGCCCCTTGTCACTGTGCCCAGCTACCACATCACAGCAGCCTAGGGTGCTCAGGAAGTGACCCCTAGCCCAGGGGACCCTCCGAAGTCAGACAGCTCCTAAGGAAAGGCCATGCTGGCAGGAACCCAGGCCTTTCTGCACTGTCCCACTCCCCAGGTTGACCAAACACCCAATTCTGCATCAGATCCCCTGCAGGACGAGGTGAAGGGAAAGTGAGAAGGCCAACGGAGGGTCTCTGTCCTTAGAGGTTTTTCTAAGAAAGGCAAATGTCCCTCTTGGCCTCCTGGTCTGTGGGTTTGGATGGCATCCACTGTGGCTGGGACCCCTCCTGCCTGGCTTTTGTAGATGAGGTGGACAGGATTGATGGTGGAGGGGAATGGTGGCAAAGAATTAAGACTGGAGCTCACCTAATGTAACTGCCCAAGGCCTCCATGGAGTTGGCTCTCAGCCCCTCCTTACCATCTGCTGCCCAAGATGCAGGGCCATGCCCATTCTCACCCCAACTGGCTTCAGAGCAGCCCATGGGGCCAGCAGGCATCAGCTACCCTTGCTTCCCCTCCTCGGCCCAGCTTCCCCTAGAAAGACTGACCTGCGGCCAGTGTGGGAGGGCACAGTGGCTCTATCTTGTCCCAGTGACCCAGGCAGGGCTTGGGTGCAGTAGCTGGGAGAGCCAAAGGACCCTGGGGCTAGGGAAACATAGCCCGAGTGGCAGGCAGGGGCCTGGAGCTGATTGTCACAGGACCTGGCAGATGGACAGTGGCAGAGTCTGGGGGCAGCTGTGCACCCAGCAGGGTTGAGCGTCCTGTCTTATGAGGCCACCGTGAGTGCAGGCACATTCGCCAGCACTGCAGGAGCCTTGGGGATCTCTGCCTACCCCTGGGGCTTGGTCCCTCACTCCAGCTCGAGGGGCTGGAAATCACCCTGGTTTCTGCTTCCCCCGGCCAGTCACGATGGTCCTTGAGTCTGAACTGGTCGCACGGGAGTGGTGGTTACTAACAACGCAGTCCACAGCAGTCACAACAGTGGAATAAGTGCCACCCTGCCCGGGCCCGAGGTGATGAGGCCCCAAGTGCTTATGGACAGGATATCATTCACCCTAACCCCACATCTGGGGATCGTCCCCATGTTACAGATGGTGACACTGAGATTGGTTTCAGCAGGCCAGGCATCTTGCCCTTGGTCTTGCAGTGGGCCAGATGCAGAACCACAAGTCACATCAGGCTGGACTCAGTTCAGCATCCTACTGTGTGTAGTGGGGAAGGAGACTTGGCTTGAGGCTGGGCTTGACCACCGTGTAGTATCAGACAAGTCCCTTAATCTCCCAGAGCCCCTCATCCCTCTGTAAGATGGGATGTAGTTCCCAGCTTGGGGATTGTTGTGAGCATAAATGCTGCCAGGGCTGGGAAGGTGGCTGTCCTGGGCTGGCAGGGTGGCAGGTGCCCAATGAGACTGAACCCTTCTCTGACGTTCTCCTGGGGTGTGTGGGAGGCTTGGTGGGACCTGTGTTTGGGCCGCCTCCTTCCCCCTCCCTCTCTCCCTCCCTCCCTCCCTCTCTCCCTCTCTTCCTCTCTCCCTCTCTTCCTCCCTTCCTCACCTCCTCCCTCCTTCCTCCCCTCCTTCCTCCCCTCTTCCCTCCTTCCTCCCTTCTTATTTCATAGTATTTTACCATTATACAAGTTCAATCCATTTTAACTACGATAAAAATGTCTCTGTATCATGAAACTATCTCCACATTTCCTCTGATAGCTAAATTATTTCAAGTTAGTGGAACAATGAAGAAATGGATAATCTTATGGGCTTTAAAAAAAATCTTTGGAATCTCCATGTCGGTGAAGAGGAGCATGAGAGAGAGTCAAGCTGATTAGGTGGTGGGAGGCAGGGTGTGTGACAGACCCTGCTGTGGTTAGAACAGCCGCTCCTGCCCGGACGACCTGACTTTACTGCGTTTCACTCTTGTGCTCACGTCTGTTGTGTTACTTACTCTTTGCAGTTACCCTTTAAGGAAGGGAGGGCATTTGTTGTTACGATGATGATTTGAGGGTCAGGTGAGCTGGGGCTCAGGAGGTGAAATGACTGGTCTGCCATCTCAGTGCTGACAAGACAGAGCAAGGATCATCCCCACGGGCTCTCGTACAATGAAGGGCGGAGATAGGAATCAGCTTGGCCATGCTGGCTGGGGTACACTAGAGCTTGGAGTCAGAATTCCTCCTGGAATCCCTGTCCCCTGGCCTTCCAGCTCTGACTGGGAGCATGCAGAGCACCTGCCTCCCACCCTCAGTCTACACCCCGCAGGGCAGGTGTGGGTGTGGCATGGGACAGTGTGAGGACAGTGCCCACAGTTCTAATCTCAAGCCAGTGGCAGTCTGTGATGGTGACATTTGCCATCATCGTCCTAGTCATCGTCTTTACGGTGTACCCACCATGTGTCTCCCATGAGGGCTCCTTGCCCACCCTAAGACGTCCCAGGTCAGTACCATCCCTATTGCGTCAGCTGCATTGGGGCAGGCAGAGGTGACCTCTCTCTTGCAGACCTACCTGAGGCTGAACCCTGGAGAGGGCTGGGTATAGGCTGAGGTTCCAGAGTATGGGGTTTCCTGAAGGTTCCCTCCTTTCCTCAGGAATGAACTTTCCTAATCAGCAACCCTGGGGAGTCTGGGGCCCTGCCAGGCCAGGTCCTGCTTACCCCTCATATCTGAGAATGGCTCCCTGAGCTCCAAGCCCCAGCCAGCCCCAGCCAGCCCCAGTCAGCCCCAGCCACTGTGCTGGGGACCAGAGTATGGGGGGCAGCTTCAGACCTACCCCACGTTGCGCCTTCACAGAAGCATAGCACAGCAGGATTCTTAAATTCTTTATTAGAGATATTTTAAAAAGGCTTTTAAGTATTTTTTTCTTCCCCCACACCACCAAATGAAATAATTGCATAATTAGTAATAAATTTGTTCCTCCACTAAGTGTGGATTTTTTTTTAGGGTGTGTTAAAAATTTATCACGCTTCCTTCCCCTGACCCCTTTCTTCCACTCGAATACCCGACTGGTATTAATGCATTTTTTAACCTAAACTCCCTCCTCCTTTTAACTAGACAGGTCATTAATAAAATGTTCTCCGAGAGCCTAAGCTTTTTAAAGTTGTATATCTCCAGATAGATGGCTTGGGTGAGTTGAACACTGCTGCATTAAGTCTCTGTGATAAAATATTTATTCACCATTAGAAATTTTTTTCTTTTGGACTGTTTGTGAAGTGTCTTGCTCTTTTCCTTGAGGCGGAGGGGGAGGTGGAAGGCCCCAGAATGAGATCTGCAGATGAAGTCATTTCTCAATTCCGGCATCTCTTTCGGTTTCTTGCTTGCCTTCCTCTCATTTGTCGGTTTCCCTGTCCAGCGGGGGCCAGGAGGATGCAGGGGCTTCGGGAAATGGTCTCCTGCCGGTCTCCATGCCCTGTGGGGCTTGGAGAGGGAGGTGATGAGGCATGTGGAGTGAAAAATTCACCACCCTCCCCTCTCTTGGCTTTATTGTTCTTGTGGGTTTATGGCTCTGATGGAGCTGATCTTAAGACATTAGCGTCTAGATCCTTTTAATAATCATAAACATTATCCTAATAGCCTCTATTTATTGATTGTATACGATGGGCTAAGAGCTGTGCTCAATTGTGTGTCGATATTATGTGTGTACATATGTGTGTGTATATTTAATATTTCTAATAATTACAAAATTGAGCAAGGTAGGTTTGTAGTACTCATTGATGGATGAGAGAAGTGTCCAAGTTTTCTCCTTTCCTTCATCCATCCATCCATCAATCTGTCCATCCATCTGTCCAACCATCCATCTGTTCTCCATCCGTCTGTCTGTCTATCCGTCTGTCCATCCATCCTTCTGTCTGTCCATCCATCCATCCATCCATCCATCCATCCATCCATCCATCCATTTATTTACTGATACACTCACAGATACTTCTTGAGAGTCTACCATGAGCCAAGGTACTTGGCTAGGAGTTGGGGAGTCAACTATGAATATACAGATAAGCTGCTGCCCTCACAAAGCTTGCAATAAATAAACCAATAGCACAATAAGGTCATCACAGATCTTTACCAGGTGTTGAGGAAAGCAGCTCTTGGCCTGACATCCCATGTCGGCCGGTTCAGGATGGCTGGGGGCCTGGCCCTGGACTGGAAACTTGCCATCATAATTCTGAGCCTTCACTTTTGGAATGGATGTAGGTGTGGGACATAGTCCCAGCCACAGAGACACCCAGATACTGTTTGCGAAATAGCCTCTGTGATCCAGTCTGTAAGTCACTAGTGGGCTTTTTCTTCAACGTGGTTTGCGTTTCCACATTGAATGGACACTATGAAAGTGATTTGTTTGAGTTTGTATCACACTGCCAGCCTCGAATCCCTCTGCCTGCTACATAGCTCCACTTGGGTGTCTAATACGTGTCTCAGACCACACATCCAGCCAGGAGCTCTGGGCTTCAACACCCAAACCTGCTCCTTTGCCATCCCAGGCTGTGGCACTGCCATGCACCCATCTGCTCCAGGCAGAGCAGCCTCAGTGCCATTCTGGGTTCCTTCCTCCACCCACCCCTGCTCCCCTCTCCCAGCAGCTGTGTCATTTTGCTCCAAATATGTCTCAAACAGCTTGGCCTCTCCTCACCTCACTGCCATCACCAAGTCTCGGCCACTGCCCTTTCTGCCTACACAGCTGCAGGAGCCCTTGCTGGCCTCCTTGTGCCTCCTACTCCCACCCTCCACAACTGCAGCTAGAACATTCTACTCAAATCGGGTCACACTACTCCCCTGCCTGGACCTTCCAGTAGCTTTTCACAGCAGCCAGAATGAAGAGCCCCAGTCCTGTCCCTGACCCATCCCCTCTTCTTACCCTCTGGAGTCTGCCTCCTGTGGCCCAGCTGTACTGGCCTCAGTCTGCTCCACAGACTGGCTGAGTTCCTGCCTGCCACAGGGCCTTTGCATGCCCTGTCTCCTGCTTCTTGGCTCAGTTCTTGGTGTGGCCACTTCCTCCTTGTCGCCTGGATTTCAGTCTCACGCCTGCCTTCTCATCCTTCCAGGAAGCAGAGGGAGGCATGAAGACCCTGGAGCGCTCACTGGCTCTGCTCCGTTTGCCCTGCTTTTATCCTCTGCCTGGCATTTACATCCCTTGTTTCTGTTTTTGTTTCCCGCATCTCCTCTTTATGTCTCTGTGTCAAATACAGTAGCCATTATTACAATGAACGAAAATAAGACATTTGGTCCCTCGGTGCCACTAGCTATATTTACAGTGCTTGGAAGCCACATGTGGCTGATGGCTGTCCAATTGGACAGCATAGTAGGAAACATGTCCATCATCAAAGAAAGTTCTAGAATGTCTGCTCCTTAAGACAGGGATTCTGTATACATGGTCCCAGCTGTGCCCCCAGTACTGAGTGTGGGGTCTGGCACCCAGCAGGCACCTGGGAGGTAAATAAATGGATGGCTGATGGGATGGCACACTGTGTTAGGCAGTGCCGGGTATACCCCGAGTCGGTAACCTCCCATTTGGGGTGAGAGAGCCATGCCCTTTCTGTGCCTGCGCTGCAGAGGAGGCGCATACACCCACATGTATGGAGGTGAAGTGAGAGGCGCAGGAGCAGAGAGGCGATGGAAGCACTAGGCGGTGGTGAGCAGCAGACCTCAGCCCCACCCTACTGTGCACCCACCAGCTGGGGGCTTCTTTGAGCCTTCACATCCATAGCTAAATTGGGGCCAGCATTTGCGTCTTGCAGATGTCTTGGCTGTTGCAAGGCTTGTGTCAGATCAGAGCAGGTATACAAGTGCTTTGAAAACTCCAAAGCTGTGTTTTTTCAAGTGTGATCCATGGACCAGAAGTGTCAGAAAGTGGGAACTTTCTAGAATGCAGCCTAAGCCTCTCCCAGAGGGCAGCAAGATTAGGGTGAGAAGGAGACAGCCCTGTGGAAAGGCAGGTGCCCAGTGAAGCCCAAGGGAGTGTGGCAAAGCTGTTTACCCTGTGTGTGATGTGGTGGTGGGGGGTCTGTCCCTGAGCCGGCAGCCTGTATCCCACGCCCCTCAGCCCCTCGGAGGCGGGCCTCCTGCCCCTGCACTCCCTTCTTTCCCTCTTGCCCATTCCCATTGCTCAGAATCATTGGCAGCAGCACAGCAGCAGCGATGACAGCAGGTAGTGCCCATTGTGCCATGTGCAGGCACAGGGTTGTTTTACATTCATTTAACCCAGTGAAGAGTATCTGTGTATCTAAACATCGAAAAGGAACAGTGAAAACACAGCATTATGGTCATATAGGACTGCCATTGTATACGTGGTCTTGTTGATTGAAAGGTCCTTATATGACACATGACTGTATCATCCTTGTTCCCTTTTACAAATGAGGACACCGTGGCCCAGAGGAGTTTAGGAAGGGCCCTGGGTTACATAGCTGGAGAGCGGCAGAATCAAGGTGTGAACCCCGTGCCTGGCTCCGGAGCCCTGTTCTCGGCCACTGTGCCGGGCAGCCCACAGCCGGTATCCTCTTTGTCAGGAGCAGGGGAGCCCCCCACCACGCCCTCCCTGACATTGCCATTCTTGCTAAAATGAAGAGACAGCACTGAGGGGAGAGCTAAAAACAATGCATCTGGACTGTCATCAGAAACAGGCTGCTTCCCATCAGAGAGTTTTCTGCTTCCCTCTCGGGCCGGGGCCTGCAGGGTGTGCTGTGAGCTCATCCAAAGAAGTGCCCACATGGGCAGGCCCTGAGGGGCTGCAGCAGATTCACCTTGATGCCTCGCAAGCCCCAAATGGCCCTTCTCATGCCTTCCATCTGCACCAACACCTATGGGAAGCTTGCACCTTCCCAGTCTTCCCTGGGTTTGCCTGCAGCTGGCTGGCTAGATCCCTGCATGGGTCACCCTTGGACAACCCTTTGTGCCAGATGACCTGGCTGCCGTGTACTGAGAGCAAACACAGACCAGGCACTTTGCCCATGGTGTTCCCCCAGTGCATCTGCATGGCAGCCCCACTTTACACAGGAGGAAACTGAGGCTGGTTAGAGGGAGCACTCAGCTGGGGGACCACATGGCCAGACCTGAGGCAGGTCAGCCCCCAAAGCCACAGCTCTTACCCACCCCACCATTCCAGCTTCTTGCTGGTTTCAGGGGAGGAGCCCACTGTGCCATGAAGGCACAGGAAGGCACTGCTCAGCCTTCCTCTCTCTCTGCAGGTCAGAAGAACCTGTGTGTCACCAGCCTCCTGATCTGCCAGGGTCTGCTCTGGGTGGGCACTGACCAGGGTGTCATCGTCCTGCTGCCCGTGCCTCGGCTGGAAGGCATCCCCAAGATCACAGGTGAGGTGCTGGGAGCCGGTGTGGGCAGGGCCTGGGGGTCAGCTGCAGGTGGCTGGTGGGGCTCAGTGGGGAGGGTGTGTTATGCTCTCATTGGTATGAGGATGGGGTTCCAGTGTCCAGCTTCCTGTCATCTCAGGTGGCATGGTGGCCAGTGGAACTGAATCATCCCAGCCCCACAGTCTCCCCTCTTCTTTCTGAGTCTGTTTCCTAATCTGGCAGATAGACACAAGAGTGGCTTGAGGATTGGCTGAGGCACCCGCCTAATGGCAGGGGCTCTACTGGCCCATTCTGCTCCTTCCCATAGCAGTTTCAAAATGTTCAGGCTCCAGAGGGAGAAATAACTGAGTGCTTCCGGGGCCAGGCCTGGCTGCCTCAGGGGTCCATGTGCAAATACATGTGTTCGCCTAGATCAGATAAAGGAAGAGCTACAGAATTAGATAGACCTGCTCCTGGGGCTGGGGACACAGAGACTGGGGCGAGCAGCTCCCCAGGCATGAATTCAGGAGGGATTCCCAGTCAGGAGCTTGAGCTAGGCCTTGAAGGAGGAGTTGCAGAATCAGGTAGACAGGAACGGCTTTTTCAGGGAAAGGCAGTGCGTTGGGCAAAGCTCTGACCTGTGCCATGGGGCCCAGGAGAACAAGGCAGGATCAGAGAAGACCCCCGACACTTGGATGCCTGGAGCCCCAGGACCCCCTCTGCTTCTGCCCTGAGAATCATGACTGTGGTCCCTTCCAGCAAAGAAACAGGGCCAACAGAAGCCCTGGAGGTGGGCTGGCTCCCTACTCAGACCTCAAGTCCTTCTGCTAAAGAAGAGCTGTTTGGGCTGGGTGCAGTGGCTCATGCCTATAATCCCAGCACTGTGGGGTCTGAGGAGGGTGAATCACCTGAGCTCAGAAGTTCGGGACCAGCCTGGGCAACAGAGTGAAACCTGGTCTCTCCTAAAAAAATACAAAAAAAAAAAAAATAGCTTGGTGTGGCAGTGTGTGCCTATAACCCCAGTTACTTGGGAGGCTGAGGCAGGAGACTTGCTTCAACCTGGGAAGCAGAGGTTGCAGTGAGCTGAGATTGCACTATTGCACTCCAGCCTGGGTGACAGAGCGAGACCCGGTCTCAAGAAAAAAAAAAAAAAGAATCATTCCTAAATTCTGAGATTATCTATTTTCAAGATTTCATCAAATAGGGTGTTTTTGTCCATCCAGGGGACATTTGTGGAGGACCTATTTCCAGGTAGAACCTGGGCTGTGGGGATGAATCACGTAGAGACCCTGCCCTCCATGAGCTGACGGTCTCCTGGGGTCATCATAGCCTGGTGGCAGGTGCTGGGATGGGGGTATCTGGGGGCTGGGGACACAGAGACTGGGGCGAGCAGCTCCCCATGGCTGTGATGGAGGGATTCAAAGTGAGGAGCCTGAGCCAGGCCTGGAAGGAAGAGTTGCAGAATCAGGTAGACGGGAAAGGCTTTCTAGGTAGGGGCAGCGGCTTGGGTAAAGGCTGGGACAGGAGGAAATTCTTGGAATTTCACACTGAGGCTCCCCCATGTGGGGTATAAGGCTGCTCCTGTTCCACTCCCCGAGGAAGCTGTGCCAGAGCACAGGATAGCCAGACCTTTGGGCTTCTGGGGAGGGGGGGCAGTGCCAACATAGACGGAAGTGACCCCCCTAAAATACCCACCCAGAAAGTTCTCCAGAAGAGCGACTCGGGCGCCTCCCTTAATACACTGGGCCTTTGGGCCCCCCTCTGCTCCGCCCCATTTTCCGCAGGGAAAGGCATGGTCTCACTCAACGGGCACTGTGGGCCTGTGGCCTTCCTGGCTGTGGCTACCAGCATCCTGGCCCCTGACATCCTGCGGAGCGACCAGGAGGAGGCCGAGGGGCCTCCGGCTGAGGAGGACAAGCCAGACGGACAGGTGCACGAGCCCATGCCTGACAGCCACATGGGCCGAGAGCTGACCCGCAAGAAAGGCATCCTCCTGCAGTACCGCCTGCGCTCCACCGCGCATCTGCCGGGCCCGCTGCTCTCCATGCGAGAGCCAGCGCCCGCGGACGGCGCAGCCCTGGAGCACAGCGAGGAGGACGGCTCCATCTACGAGATGGCTGACGACCCCGACGTCTGGGTGCGTAGCCGGCCCTGTGCCCGAGACGCCCACCGCAAGGAGATTTGCTCCGTGGCCATAATCTCTGGCGGGCAGGGCTACCGCAACTTTGGCAGCACGCTGGGCAGCAGTGGGAGGCCGGCCCCATGCGGGGAGACGGACAGCACCCTCCTCATCTGGCAGGTGCCCTTGATGCTATAGCCCCTCCCCTCTCCCCGCAGAGGGCACAGCTGCAGGCCTGACCAAGGCCACGCCCCGCTCTCATGCTGTAGGGACCTGCAGACGGGCCTGGATTCTCCAGAAACTACTTGGGCAGAGCAAAGGAAAACCTCTTCTTTTTAAGAAAAAATTTTTTTCAGAGTGTTTTGGGGAGGAGTTTTAGGGTTTGGGGAGCGGGAGAACATGTCTGGAGGAAATGGCCTTCTTTTTAAAAGCAAAAAACACAAAACCTCACAACTGCCTGGCAAGCCCAGCACCACTTGTTTGGGCCCTAGCGGGGCTCCAAGGCAGCAGCCACACGCCCCTCCTGGAAGGGTGTGTGCGTGTGAGTGTGTGCGAGTGTGTGGGCTGGTGTGTGAATATCTATAAATACGTATATATGCTGTATATTATATGTGTATAAATAAAGTCTGTACATATTGGAGCTCTGGGAGATGCTGGAATAAAAGACAAGAGTTACATCCGGACTTGGATTGAGGTTTTGTGGTTTTTTAAAGACATGATAGGAAAGAGACAGAGCAGCTATTGGTAGAGAGGGGTTATTTGGGACCCAGGAGCCAGTCAGGCTTGGCGGGTGGTGGTCCGCTCTAGAACCTCACGGTCCAATCAGGTCCCCATTAGCCACAGGTGGGTAATTAATTTTCATATGAATGAAAATGAAACGTTCAATCTCTCAGTCACCGTAGCTCCATTTTAGCTATGGCTTGAGTGGTGGGTGGTGAAGGATGAGACGGCACAGATATGACCATTTTCAACGTAGAAGAAAGCTCGCTTCTGCTCCAGGACGGGCTTTGGGAGCTGCTTTTCTGAATATTTTTTTGGAAAAAAGACTGGGTTGCTCCAGCTCTGGAATAGCATGGGAGCAGAAGGCTTTGGTGTCTAACAGTGCGAGCCAGCAGGGAGGGGAAGATGAGAGGCCTCTCAGCAGGCTGGCAGCCAGGTCCCAGGACTTGGGGTCAGAGGGAGGACTGGGCAGGTTTCAGGTGAGGTCCATCCGCAGCAGGAGCAGAGCCCGGCTGCAGGTGGGATAGGCATGTGGGGCTGCTTCTGGCCCTGGCTCCTCTTTTCTGGCTCAGTTCATCCTTAGATTGCTAGAGCTGCCTGCAGAGGAGAAAATCAAAACCAAAAGCCACCACCCAAAAGGGAAGTGTTGCCTCCGTTTTCCCACCCTCTACCTCTCTGTTCTGTCTGCCTACCACCCGCTGGTGCTTGCATTGAGATCTTACCACTGAAGTTCTAGGAATCCAGTGGAAAAGCCACCAAGGCGTGACATTCCAGCCGGGTTGTAACCTCCTCATGGGTTCTCACTCACTAGAGAAGTCATTCATTCACTCATTTTGCAAATCCCTTGTGTTCCTGCTATTTGCCAGGCTCTGCACTACATGGACAAGACCGCAGCCATCCATGCCCCAGCAAGTGCATGATGTAGTGGGGAGGGCAGGCATAAATACCAGCAAGCGAGGGCTTGGGGAGATCGAGGGTGATGTGGAGGAGGAAGGGGGAAGGAGGAGGAAGGGCCTGTGCTCAGGCGGAGGGTAGATCGAGGTTGGCTATTCCCAGAGGGCAGGTGGCCAGTGTGGGTCCCCAGGAAGGGGAGAAAAGAAGCTATGTCCAGAACCAGTACACCTGAAGGTCTGGCTCCCACACTGACTACCGCCAGACATGTCCACCTCCTTTGGGCCTCAGGATCCCATTTTGTATCAAAAGAACCACCACTGCCCTGTCCATCTCACTTGGAAGAGAATAAAGTGCCCTGGTTCCATTTTATTACACAAGGGGGTTACCGAACACCCTGTCTTGATGGGATTTCCAGGGGGTGTCGTTATCCCATCAATCAAATATCAACCAAGGCTTTTCCTGAGACAGAGACCAGTGAGTCGAGGCTGCCCCGGGACGAGGAGCAAGCCTGGACTCTAGGGCCCGGCAGGCTGGGTTCTAGTTCGACCCCACCAAAATGCTGCTGTGTGACTCCCAGCACGCCCCTTGTTTCCTCATCTCTAGGACGGAGGGGATGGTGCGTCGCAGAGTTTGTGGTACTGAGACCACAGAAAGCATCTGGACCAGCCCTCCAATGGCATTTTTGATGATGGTTCCTTATATCCTCACTCCAAACAATTTGAGGCGGTGGTTCTTACTGAGGAGTCTCCTCTTTTGCGCTGGAGCTGGCATCTGGGATCTCCGTGGGCTTGTTAGATCCTAGACCTACAGATCGCTCAGCTAAAAGACATGGGAGATGGAACGGGGCCTGTTAAATCCCGCCACTGAGAAAACGACTAGCTTTGCTACTTCAGAGAAATTATCACATCAGTCACCAGCTCATTTCCCATGTCTCCAACAACAGAGCGAGGGAGGGTCGGGGGCGCTGTGAAGGGCTCCCGAGACCCACTGAGGATGTGCCTCGCATGTGAGCGGAGGCCTGGCCTTAGATATTGATAAGAGTAATAATACCCAGAGTGTTCTGGGTGCCTGAGCTCCTTGCGTCATTACGCCTGCTCTCTGAGGCTGCTTTTGTTTGCCCCGTTTTGTAGGTGAGGGGTCTGAGGCTCGGGGAATGTAAGCAACCTGCCTAGGAAGCCTCAAAGCCTAAAACCCAGACCCGGGATTGTAGTCCATCTGCCACCAAGACAGCTCTTAGCCACCGGACTTCTCGCCCCCCAGAGCAAAACTTGGGAGACAAACGGAGCAGAGTTGCAATCGTGGTCTTCCCACCTAGCAGCTGGGTACGTCGGGCAAGTGCCTTAATCTCTGTGTCCCAAGGAGTCCCCGCCAGGGGAACAGACCAGCATTCATTCAGTAGTCACTGAATGCCAATTACATGCCCAGATCCATTTTCAAGTAGACACTGGGTAGGGTGTGGTGAAAAAGACAAATTCTACACACACCCTGCTCTCCATTCTACTGGCGGAAGTGGGAGGAAACAGACCGGGAGAAAAATATGTCTGATGGTGTTTGTGCTCTGGAGAGACGTAGCAGAGAAGGGGAATGGGAGGTGCCATCTCACGATGGCAAAGAGGTGGTCAGGAGGCCTCACTGAGGAGGTGACATCCAAGCAAGGACCTGAAGGCAAAGCAGACGTCAGGTGGGAGAACATTTTGGGCTGAGGGCAAGTGTTAAGTGCAGAGTTGGGAGGCGGGAGTGTGGCTGGGGCAGGGGCAGGCTGGGAGGGGAGGCAGTGGGCAGTTGGAAGTCACTGGAGGGTTTTCAGCAGAAGAGTGACACCATCTGTCTGATGTTTTCAAACAATCACGTTTGGCTGCTAAATTAGGAATAATCCATGAAGGTGGGGACAGCAGTGTGGGAGCCAGGAAACTCCCTGTTGAGAGCTGTTGCAGTCAGCCAGGTTTCAGGGGTGGAGGGCAGCAATGGAGATCGGCCAGCTTCTGGGTGGATTCTGTTGTTCCAGAGCCCACCGGGTTTGCAGCTAGATGGGTTGAGAGGAGTCAGGCGTCCCCTGAATTCTGGTCTGGTGACTGAAAGGTCAGAGCTGCCAGCTTCCCTGGCAGGATGGCTGTGAGGGCAGCTTTCCTGCAGGAAAATCAGGAATGGGGTTTGGACCAGCTACATTTAAGTTGCCTTTGAGCATCTGAGCAGAGATGTAGGGAGGACAGTTGACTGTGTGGATGTGGAGTCAGCAGAGAGGTCCAGGCCAGGGGTGCAGGAGCCTGGAGGCAGCCTCCGAGGGAGCAGAGTGGATGGAGGAGATATGAGGACAGAGTCCAGGGAAGGCGGGTGTGGGGAGGTCCAGGAGCTGATCAGGAAGCACAGGGGAGGCTGAGATGCCCGGATGAAGGCAGAAGACCGGGAGGGCATGGCAAGCGTTGGAAGGGGAGGTATGATCTGTGCTGAATGCTGCTGAGGCTAAGGAGAGCCCAAGGCCCACCTCGGATTTAGCCACACAGAGGCCCTCTGTGCCCTGATGAAACGAGTGTGGGCAGAGTGGTGGCGGGGAAGCCTGAGGTTGTAGAGGGAGGGTCTGGGAGAGGAGCCTGTGAGCAGTGCGGTCCTGGGGTTCTCCAGCCCCAGTGATGGGGTGGAGGGAGGGAGGAGCCGTGACAGATGCCCCAGCCATGCAGGCCACAGCTCAGAGGACCCGGTGTTGATCAGTTCACAGGCCTTCATTCCGTGAACTGTTCATCCCATTGCCCTTGTCCAAGGGTGAAAATCACTTTCTCCCCCCGTGGTGGGCAGGCCGAGGCTGCAGACAAGCCCAGTTATCAGGAGGCAGCTGTGAGCCAGAACGGTCTCCCAGCAAGAATCCTGCGCAGTGGCTGATTGAGACTCTCAGGCTGATGACACGTTGCCCCAATCCCACCCGGAGGACCCCAGCCTGCCATGCTGGGTGACCGCCAAAGGCCTCTGTTCCTGTCTCTGTGCTCAGGCCTGGGGAGGCCAAGGCCTGACACCCCATCCTTCAGAGGTGGGGCTGGTTCCCTGGGCACCTCTGGCTCCGAGCCATGGACTCCGAAGGTGGAAGGGGGCAGAGGCTGTCCTCAGCCAGCATCCGAGCAGTGCCCAACCTTGGAGTTTGACTGCCTGTGTAGGGGGAGAACTGCAGTCCCGGCTGGGGGCACGGAAATGGCCGTCTCACTGTGTTCCAATAACTGACCTTATTGTAGTTTGGACACCCCATAGCAGAAAACTCTATTTTTTTTTTTCTTTTGAGAGAGTCTTCTCGGCTCACTGCAACCTCTGCCTCCCTGGTTCAAGCAATTCTCTTGCCTCAGCCTCCAGAGTAGCTGAGATTACAGGCGTCCGCCACCATACCGAGCTAATTTTTGTATTTTTAGTGGGATGAGCTTTTAACATCTTGGCCAGGCTGGTCTTGAACTCCTGACCTCAGGTGAGCCACCTGCCTCGGCCTCCCAGAGTGCTGGGATTACAGGTGTGACCCACTGTGCCTAACCTCTAATTCTTAGTTCAAGGTGACATAGTCATTTCTGGGGCTTAAGCCGCTTCTTGGGGCTAACACAGTTATTTGGGGGGAAGCGACAGTCTCTCAGGACCATCTCCTTCCCCTTCCTTCCCTTTTGTCCTCTGCCTGGCATTTGAGCCCTGGGGACACTAATAGGATGCAGTAGTGGTGACCAGAGTCCAGGTGTCTGAATAGTGGCAGAGGGGTTGGGGCATCTCTACCCTCTGTTTTAACATCTTTCGGTCTCCATGCCCCAAGGTCCCATGCCTGGCTGTCTGTCCCATCTTTGGTGTCAGGCTGGCGTCATTGGTGCTCGCTGTCTCTGGTCTTGGGCACCTCACCTTCCGTGCCCCCCAGCCCTATCTCGGGTTTTCTTTAGCCCTTCCATACCCCCATCAGCCTCCACCCCCAGGACACTCACAGACCTGTGTATCTCAGACCCCCTCCTCTGCCCTAGGGGGCATGTCGGGGATCAGACCCCTGCCCAAAAGCTCTCCTGCTCCCTTCAGCCTTTCTGATTGACTCCTGGAGGTCGGGTTCCGCCAGTCCATCCTG